GGCAGGCGGCCCGCCGAGCCTCTCCACGGGTGAGCAGGCAGCGGGCAGGACGTCCCATCAGGCGAGGGGCCGGGGAGCTGCTCCTGGGGCTGTGGCCGTGTCCCCAGTGGCACCGTGCCGGGCAGTGCAGCAGTCCACGTCCCCTCCTGAAGGTATCTCTCCGGGGCCCCACTGGTTTGCTCCACCAGCAGCTCCGGTCCCCTCGGCCGAGGTCAGCGTGCTGCCCCGTGCCCACCCGTTGCCTCGTGCCTCCTGGGTGGCATCGCTGGGCAGTGCCACGCGGGTCCCTGGCCCTGCTGTTCCTCCTCCGTCCCATGGCAGAGGCCGTCGGAGCCATTAGTGCCGCTCAGGGATGTGCTGTGGGTTTGTTTGTTTTGGCTTTTTTATTTTTTTTTCTTTCCTTCTTTCTTTCCAGGAAGCACTTAATGTTCTTGTATTTCTGGCTCCCTTTGCCACTTGAGATTTGGCAAAGACGCCGACCGAGAGTGGTTCCTAAATGTCAAACAGGACAAAATGTTTTGAAACCCCATTAGACCGAGGCTGAAATGTCAGTGCTTTGTAGCCGGTGGCTTTCCAGGTCCATAGTGGCTCTTGGCACGTGCTGGCAGCGGCCTCCAGCTGTCCTGGGAGGCAGCGCTGCTGCTCTGAAACACGGGGACTGTTCTGTCTTGGGGGTTGACCTCGGCGCTCTGGAGGCTTGAAGGCCTGGGAGCCATGGAGAAAGGAGTCCCTGGCGGCAGCCCCAGGTGCGGGTGAGGCCGGGTCCCCTCCAGGGGATGTGTGCTCCTAGATATTTGCCTTTTCTATGTGCGTCATGGCTGTTGAAAAAGCAGGACAGCTGGACTGTAGGATACCCAAAGCTGGTGGAAAGTGGCTTTGAGATGTTCCTCCCCGCTGGCGGAGGCAGAGGTTGGCACCTGCCTGTCCTCTGTGAGCACGGGCAGGGCTTGCCTGTGGGGTGCCGGCTAGGTGCAACGCGTGCTCTGCATCTCACCTCCCTGGGGCCAGCAGGGAGCAGAGAGGCTGCTTGCACAGGTCTCGGGGGATGAAGTGTCCTTCCTGTGGGGTCCTGCCAGGCACTGCGAGTGGAAAGAAGCAACAACAAAACCAGGGGAGGGTAGAAAGAGGAGCTACCCTCCTGCCTTTCTTCTGAGCACCTGCACCCAGCGCAGCGGCTCTGACCACTGCTGTGTGCCATCCAGGAGGAGGAGGAGGAGGTGGCTGCTCCCTGTGATGGTGCCTCTGAGCTGTTTGTGAGGTCCCTTCCCTTTGAGCACTTCTCCCCCGGACCTTTGCAGGCTGCTAGCACCAGCACTTGGGTTTGGCAATTCCCCCTCGTGCAACAAAACCTTGATGTTCCTCACCTGAAAATGCAAAAAACTTGTGTGATGGCATTTCTCTGAGCTGGCCGCTCCAAAGGCTCTAAAAAGCATCCAGAGGCTGCTTTTAAAAGCCTCCGAGCTTTCCCCGTGGCCGTCCTCCCTTCCGCTCACGTGTGCCCTGTGTCTGTACTTTAACCCTGCAGCCAGAAGGTGTGTGGGGTGAGGGCGATAAAATGCCGGGCTGGAGGGGAAGGATGGAGCTGGGGGTAGTTTTTGCAGGTGGCTGAGCTGAAGCCTGTGGCTGAGCATCCCCCCATGGCCCTGCAGAGCCAGTTGGGCCCTGGGCGGGCGGGTTTGCATGCCGGAGAGAGCAGGGCATGCGCAGGAGGCTTTGTGCATGCTCAGGGGTTGCTCTCCAATGCCGCTCCCCTTTCGGCCAGCGCTTTCTCCCCTTGCACTGTCTCCTGGTGCTCAGGAATAGGCTGCAGACCCGCCGTCTTGTTGGTTCCGCTGGGTATCTTCGCAGCTGTGCCACACGAGCGTGTGCCGGTGCTGGGGATGCCCAGTGCAGGCCAGGCCATCGTCCCCGCCTGATCGTAACGGTCTGTGACCCGCACGCACTCAGGGGTGCAGGGCCATGTCCTGCTCCCGGCACCGAGCTCACCCCGCGGTGCAGGATCAGGCCCAGCTCCAGGAGCACCCGCAGCCTGGGAAGGGCAGAGTGGCGGGAGGTTGGAGTGGTGTTTTTGTTGAGTTGTTTAGTGGGAATAGCAAACGTCCTGCCCCTCCTGGCGCGCGGCGCAGCGGTACTCATGGCAAGAGGCCCCAAGTCACCTGTTGCATATTTTTCAGTCTTGATAAGTGTGTCCTGAAGGCGTCTGGCACCTGGGTGCCATGGGAGTGCTGGGCAGGTGAGGGTCAGCCATGGCTCACCTCCCTGCTGCGCCGTGGGCAAGCTTCCCCGGGTGAGTTTCGGCTGTGCGGGAGATCTCCTTCCAGGATGCGGAGGCAAGGTGGCCATGAGCCAGGGAGCAAAGGCAGGAGCACTGCATGCTGGAGGGTTACGTGCCGGTAATTGTCTGGGAGGCTGCTCCAGCACACAAATAAGGGGGGGCTGGTGGCAGCTGGGAGCATCCTGTGCTTGGTCCTGGGGTAACCTTGCCTCCCGTGTGCAGGGAGGGAGGTGGCGGGTTTGATTTGGGGCTGGCTGCTCCTCTGCCTTGTGCCCTCCCACAGCCAGGGTGAGCATGAGTTGGCGGCTCCTCGGGAGACCCTTCCTAGGACGGGATTGCGCTCGCTCTCCAGGGGATAAGGCCAGAGCAGCCTCTGTGTCCTTCTTCAGTTTGCTGCATCCAGCCCAGCTTGAGCAGGTTGTGCCAGCAGGCTTCTCCCAGCCCTCCAAGCAGCGTGGATGCTCCAGCAAAATTTGGAAAGTCCCTTTCCATGGAATGCCCTGGCCAAGGCGGGGGCATTCAAGAGCCCTGCCCTTGGGGTGCAAGCAGGGGACATGGTTGCTGGCAGGGTGGTGGCACCCAAAGGTTGCCCTCCCGACATCCCCGCCCTGATCTCAGTGGCGGCTAAACCTGCTTTGGCCCTTCGCTGCCTCCACCTCGGGCTTTGTGGGGAGAAGGGTGTGGCAAGAGGGATGCGAGCCCACATGGTGGGGAGCAGCGGCCCTCTCGGTGTGGTGGTGTGTGGAGAGGATGTCCCCTTGGCTGGGGACGGAGGTCGTAGCACCCAGCTCGGCAGCTTTCCGTGGGAAATAGCCCTTCTATACCAAAGAGAGTTTACGGAGCAGCAGCACCCGCTCCTGACGGATGCTCCTCTGGGATAGAAGAGCTCATGGGAAGCCTGGGGCAGAATGAGCTGCGCTGCAGATGCTGTGGTCCACCCTGGTGTGGGGCGAGAGGTTCAGAGCAGGATGAAGCTCACCTCCCTCTGCCGGGAGCTCCGTAGAACCCCGGTGCAGGTCAGCCAGTGCAAAAGTGCCGCTTTGGGGTCAGAATTCAACTTTCTTATAAAATAAGCCTTGCCTGTGCCTGCCTGCTGCTGCATTTCCCTCCACTAGCAGGAAGGCAGGCGGGGGCAGTGGGTGCCCCTCGGCGTGGGGCAGCCAGAGTCGGCACGGGTCTGGTGACCTCCGCATCAAGCAGCTGACCCTGCCCAATGTGCAGCACCTCTTGGTGTCCCATGGCAGGAGAAGGGGCTTCACGTGGAGTTTCTGTGTGCCACTTGGTGGTTTTTGTGTATATCACCTTTTTTTCAGTCTTTAAGTAAAAATGCATCTGTGGCAGCGGGGAGCAGGAGGGGGGATGCCCAAGCGGGTCTGGCTGCGGAGTAAGGGACTGGAGAGTGAGGGAAGCTGCAGCACCCCATAACCCCAGCGCCGCTTGTGTCTGCACCGAGAGTCACCCGCTGCATTTCTTAGCAGCGCGTTGTTCCCGCTGCCCTGGGGTGACACAGCTCTGCGGGCACAGCCTGCACCATCCCCCCGGCGCAGCTGGGGCTCCGCTCTGCCACCAGCACTCACCTCCACTGTTCGGCTGCTGTGCTCTGGTACGCACACAAAAAAAAAAAAAAAATCCAAACCCAAGCCACATCTAAACCACTGGGTTGTGGAGAAGGCTTTCTAGAGAAGTCTTACAGCAGAAGTGAGACTGGTCCCCTCTCACTGGGGCGGGGGGTCCTGACTGCAGGGGGTGCCCAGGGGACGAAACCAAAGGTACCGGGTGAGAGCTGCCGGCGTGGGCTGTGGCAGTGCCAGCAGCTTTCCTGGTTCCACCATG